AAAGAAATAGCTCGACAGGTCAGTGGAGTGCTGCTGAGTAGAGGTTCTCAGCCCTGGCTTCACGTTAGACTCCCCTAAAATGCTTCTAAAAAGCAAACAAACAAACAAACAAAAGACAATACTTGGGCCCTATTTCCAGAGATTGTGATCCATCAGGGTGGCACTTGGATACTGGTGTTTTCTTCCTTTCCAAAAACTTCAAATTTACCGGTGTTTAATTTTGTATTTTCTTAAATGCCTCCAGGGGACTTTTGCACAGCCAGGATTGAGAACCACTGGGTTGGCGGGTCCCGAAGTGGGCTTGGCACACAGGAACGTGTAATTTATGGTAAAGTGGCATTTCGCACTGGTAGCAACAGGAAGGGTTCTTCAACTAGAGATGCTGAGATAATTACTTCAGCATTTGGAAAGACTGCTGGATGTTTACTCCTGGCACCAGAGTAAATCCCACACGGATCAGAGTCTTAAATAGAAGTGACGATAGAGGAAGGAGGGGAAGGAAAAGTCATGAAGGTTCCTGAAGAAGTTATGAATAAATTTATAATCATGGTGGGGAAGACCCGCCGAAGCTGGTTATAAGCCTAAAGGGGAAAAAGCCTGTAACGTTAAAAACATAAAAACATTTGATTCCTGAATATCACCAAATACGGTGAATGAAGTCAAAAAATGAATGACAAACTAGAAAAGTCTGTTTAGAATACACCTGCCAGACAATGGACTACCTATCCACGATTAACACAGAACTCAAATCAACAGGAAGGTTCTGACACCAATTGTAACTCTGCCACCGGTGACACTGTGGGCTCTGACAGCAAGCAAGTCTGTGGTACCAGCCGGGTGTCCTACTGTGTGAAAGTGTTAGTCGCTCAGTCGTGTCTGACTCTTTGCAACCTCATGGACTGCAGCACATCAGGCCTCCCTGTCCTTCACCAGCTCCCGGAGTTTGCCCAAGTTCATGTGACAGGAAATCAAAGGTGCACACAAAACTTGACCCCTAATGTGCATAGCAACAGTATTCCCAAAACCCAAAAGATGGGAACAAAAGATGGGAACAACCCAAGTGTCCATCATCTGATAAATGGATAAACAGAATGTGCTCTGTTCCTATCGTGGAATGTTATTCTGTCCTAAAAGGACTGAAGTCCTGAGGCCTTCTACGATGTGGGTGAACCTTGAAAACATCACACTCAGTGAAATATCAGACACGGAAGTCTATATATTACATCATTTGATTTTATAAAATGTCCAGAATAGGCCAATCAATAGATGCAGAGAGTGGATTAATGGTTGCCTGGGGCTAGGGGGCAGGAGGAAATGCAGCAGTGTCTGTTAGTGATTACAGATTTTTTTTTGCAGGAGAGTGGTGATGAAATGTTCTAAAACTGATTATGTGGATGGTGGCATGACACTTAATATATTGAGATGATTAAATTGTGCACTTTAAATGGGTGAACTGTTTAGCAGGTGAATTACATCTCAATAAAGCTGTTAAGAAAACACTGACATATGACTTCTCACTCCTCAGACTGGCAAAATTAGTAAGAGTGTAAGGAGACAGACTCCCTCTTATACCATCAATAAAAGTGTAAATTGGTGGCACCTTTCTGAAGAGCATTTTGGCAACCGCTGCCAGACTTAAAGCACACACGCTCTTCATCCGAGGGCTTCCACTTCCAACTGACCCTATGGAAATATTGCACGTGCAGGTACACCAAGGAGATGCAGCCGGGGCTTTGTAACAGCAAAGAAACAGGAAACGAACACACGTGCACAGAGAATGCAATCTTACCATGGAAATAAAACACAGCCATTCAAAAAGAGGTGGAGACCAAGGATGTGTTGGTCTGGAGAGATCTTCAGAGATGTTGCTCAGGTGCAACACTCGCAAAGTATAGAACAGTGGGCAGAGAGCAGTTCTCTTTTAATCAGTAAAAATGCTGATTTACCAAAGTACTCAGGAAGGAAATGCAAAAAAAGGAATCATCTCCCGGGAGAAGGACTGCGGTAGAGAAGCTTTTAGTTCTTCTTTTATCATCTTTTGGGAACTGTTTAAATTTTCTAAATGTGTGCATACATTAACTTTATTTTTTAAATGCCACTGGGATTATCTGTGCAGTGGCATTCCAAGCCATTTTTCATTTTCTTCATGTTTTTCCGTATTGAAAGAGAAAACCTTGAAAAATCTCCTGCACTCCAGACAAATGTGTGATGGTTCTATGAGTGTGTGTGTGTGTGTGTGAGATGAACTGCTGTTGGCCATGAGAACCCTCGTAGAATCCACGCCCTCCCTCTCTGGGCCTGTTTCGCATCCTTAGAGAAAGAGCTGGGGGAGGTGGGCTGGGGGAAGTGGGCTGGGGGAGGTGGGCTGGGAGCACTGCCGGCTTTAAAGGCCAGAACTTGTAACTTCACTGAGCGCCTGAAGCTCTCTCCAGAGGCAGCCCCATAGCGGTCTTGGCCGGCCCCCCTGGTGTGAAGCCAGCTTCTATGGGGCAGGTGGGCTTGGAGGGGGGCTCCAGGTGAGATGGCAGGAGCAGGGTCCACTCCTCTGAAACAGTAGGAGCGCAGATGGGGAGGGCTTTGAGCGGATGCTCTGCTGGTGTGAACCAGCTGGACCGAAGCCCACTTTCTAAGTGAGGGCTGAAGGGGTCTCTGAAGGCTGGTGGCCCCTGGGCCCAGCCCTTAATAGTCCCCTGGAGCAGGTCTGGAGTCCAGGAACCTGTGAATACGCTCCCATAGGTGTTTATGGGCTTACAGATCAGTGTTTCCCGCATGTTAGAAGTAACATGTGACACGTCCATGTCTGCGTCTCCTCCCTCCCTCCCGCCTCTCTTTCAAGATCTGTATTCCAGCAACGTCCCCTTCTGGGGCAGAGACACCAGGGTGAAGAAGACGCTCCATTCCAGGGCGGGTCAGGAGTCCCTGGGGGCACTCTGTAGGGCTTGCCACCTTCCTCCTGGGACAATCCACAAAACTGGTCTTGGGAGAACCAAAGAATTGGCCAGGGTTAGTAGACCGTGGGCAGGGCGCGGCGGACCACGCTGTTAGCGCGTTTGTATCCACTTCGCACCTGCGCCCACCTGGGTGCTTGTGTGTGTATCTGGGTGTGATGTGGCGAGTGTGCGCCTATGGCTGTGGAGTGTGTGTCCCTCCACGCGTGCAGCTGCAGGACACTCCGATTTGTTGCTGGTCCCCTGGGGCCCTCGAGTGACAGGCCAGCCAGCTGTGGGCTAATGAGATGCCGTGGCTGTGGAGTGACTTCCCTCAGAGCCTGTCCTCCCTGGTGGAGCCAACTGCTGCTAGGAGTCCAGAGATGGGAGCGACGATTTCCTTCCACCCAGGGTGTCCAATCATCCCCACTGCTCTCCAAAGGCCCTGCCAACCTGACATAACCTCTTAGGTCTTGCCTCCGGGGGTGTCTTGGTGGACAGAGTAGGATTCTCTAAAAAGAGGCCCCCAAACACTCAGCACAAATAACTTAGTTTATTTCTCCAGCAAGTGGTACTGTGGGAAGGTGGTCCCGGCTAGCGTGGACATTCAACAGTGTCCCCAAGCCCCAGGGCTCCCCTTGCTCATCAGCCACACAGGACACAACCTGAAAACCCTCTTGCCCGCTCTTTTGGCCTCAGGTCCCAATCCAGTCTGCCCCAGATCTTTGTTCTCTCACCAAGAGGCTCTGCCACATGACTTTCCAAACCACAGAGCAAGCTCCCTGAGATGAAGCTCGCCTCTCTCAAAGACCCAGGACCACGGTGTGCACTTTTCCCCTTGTTATTATTAAATATTAACTGTTTCTCTTTGTGGCTATAGGTTATCTGTCCTCATCCCCAGCCTTTGGGCAAAGTACTTTATTCTGTGCCCCCAGTTTCCTCATCTTAAACAGGGATAACCATAGTTTGACTCCTAGTTTTTCTGTATGGATCAAATCCTAGGTTTGCCTCTGGGATCAAATGAGCGTAAAGCTTTTAGAATTGAGCCTAACATATGCTCCGTGATATTTTAATAATATTCAGCACGATTATCTCTTTGGATTCTCTCCATCTCTCCATGGGGTGGAAGGGCAAGCATCACTTCATCTTGAGACAAAGAAATGAAGGACCAGTTGCCCAAGGTCACAGCGCCAGCAGGCTGGTGGCTGAGTCTGGACTTAATCCAGATCTGAACCTCAGAGACCTCATGTAAACTTGGGGTGATGATGGAGCCCCCTGGTAGTATTAGGTTGTGAGAGTCCACTGAAAGTGAAAAGGGTTAGTTGCTCAGTCGTGTCCGACTCTTTGTGACCCCTTGGACTGTAGCCTGTCAGACTCCTCTGTCCATGGGATTCTCCAGGCAAGAATACTGGAGTGGGTAGACTTTCCCCTCTCCAGGGAATCTTCCTGACCCAGGGAAGATTCTCCTGAGTTGGAGGCAGTCTGTTTACCATCTGAGCCACTAGGGGAGCTCTGAGAGTTCAGTGCTATCATGCAATCAGGTGACAGGAATGAGGATAGCTTTCAAACGTCTGTGCCCTTCCCCTTCATGGGGACCCCCAACCTACAGGCCCAGCACACCTACGCTCTCACACAGCCAGCAGGAATCCCAGCCGCCCTGTGCCTGGCAGCCCTGGGGTCAGCTGCTTCTGTGTGCTGGGTGGGGCAACTGGGCCGACAGAGCAGCCCATTGTCTCTATCCTCTGGGGCTCTATTGTTAGGGCCTCCTCCCGGGGCGCAGCCCCAAGACACTCAGCTGTTGCCCAGCTAGTTCTGGCTTCCCGAGGTGGAGGAGGTGTGGATGTGCAGATAAACAACTGTACCCTGAAGAGTGGATCACCAGTCTGGTTCTACTGATGAGGACACGGAGGCTCAGAGAGGCTGAAGGACTGTGTGCGGAGCGCTTGTCTCAAGTCAGAGCTGCCGCACGAGGCTGGGCAGTGGGCTTGGGGGACCTCGAGGCAGAGAGGTCAGGCATCGCATTAGGTCGGAAATGTCAAGGCCAGAACACCCGGCCCGACCTCATCTCGCTAGTGGAAACAGAGGCCCTAGAGCGCAGACGTTCGCCCAGCTGGGGCCGGGGTCACACAGCGACTCCGCCTCCGAGTCCGCCCGGAAGCCGGGCGTCCCTAGCTCCCAGGATCTCTTGGGACCGCGAAGACAGGCCGGGAGGCCGGAGGCGGGGCACAACGTGACCCCGCCCCCCAGGGCGGGGCGATTGCTGCCGTTCCAGTTCTGCGACGAGCGGCCCTCCCCCTAAGGGGAGCGGCTTCCGAGCAGGGAGAGATCTCACTGAGTGTTTCCCTGCGGAAGGCGGGACTTGGAGCTTGAAGGGCGTTGGGGGCGTGGCCTCCGTCCGCGCCGCCGGAGAGCTCGGCGCGGGACTCCGACCCTCTGTGACGCAGGCCCGAGTGGGGGCGGGGCGGGGCCGAGCCTTCTGAGCTCCGCCCCCAGCGGAGGCGGCCGAGGCCGGGGGCGTGTCCTGGGCGGGGCCTCGCCCCGCCCCGCCCGGTCGCGGAGCGGTGGCGGCGCAGGGAGGGCCCGGCCCCGGGATGTGAGTGCGGCGGGGGCGGGGGCGCGGGCTGGGGCGCCGGCCAGGCCGCGGGGGTTCCCAGGGGTCCCCGCGGGCGGACGCACCGGTGCGCGGGCGGCCGGGCGAGCCCGCCAGGTGCGGGCCCAGGTACGGCGGGCGCTCGGGCCGCTTGGCCCGGGTCAGCGCCCCGCGTGCCATGGCCAGCCCAGCGCCACTCATCTGAGACGCACGGGGCGCTGGCCGGGCGGGGGCCCGCAACATGCGCGGCTTGGCGTCTGTCCTCGGGCCCCCCCCAGAAGAGCGGAGGCCCCCGCGGTGGCAAGCCGGCTCTCTGTGCCCTGTGCGGCGGCTGCGGAGGTGTGATGGGGGTCAGCTGGCGCGGAGGGCCCGAGGTGACCCCATTCCTGGCTGCGGGTTGGGCCGAGGTGACCCCATCCCTGGCTCCGGGTTGGGCCGCAGCCTGCGTGAGCCCCGAGCTGCTGCTTCTGGGAACTGTCCCCCTCGCTTGTCAGGGATAGGGCGCTTTCTGTGCTCGATTGTTGAGTGCGTTATCTCAGTCCTCCCGACAGACAGCCGCACACGTTTTTGCAGCCGAGGAAAGCCAGGCCTAAGGCCACACAGCTGTTGATTGTAATTGTCATGTGGAGGTGAGGTGCTGAGGCTTACAGCCACACACCTGGTCCACATTGGCTGCTCCACAGACCCGGGTGACCTTGGGGTGCCCCTGGTCCCCTCTCTGAGCCTCTGGTGGGATGGTGGTGCCTACACCCACCCGGGGCTGCTGCCAGGATTGGGCCGAATGGTTCAGGGAGCTCAGTAAGGAGCCACTATTTTAGTGTTGTTGCTGTGGCCCTTTTTCTGCCGCCGAGGGAGCTAGTGATACTGGGTCAGGGCTGTGTGCTCGGTCTGAGCCTGCTGGCGCCTAGGCGCAGCTGCTCCCACACTGAGGTTGTTCCTGTCTGTGCGTGTCTGTCCCCGTGCCCACGAAGGCCACACCCAACCCAGCTGTACCAGCATGTGCCGGACTCACGCTGGCCCATCGTGTACTCACCGCGTTACAACATAACCTTCCTGGGCCTGGAGAAGCTGCACCCCTTTGACGCAGGAAAATGGGGCAAAGTGATCAGCTTCCTGAAAGGTATGGAAGGCCCCACTGGGACCTGCATCTGCCCCCTGCAGCCCCCCTGCCGCCACCACCACCCCCTGCTGCCTTTCCCTCACGAAAGCTTCAGACCCTCCCCGCTCCAGTTCCCAACCCTCAGACTGCCTTCCACACGAGCTGTCACGAGGGTCTTTCCAACACAGACCTCTGAGCTCATCCTGGCCCCATAGCACCCCTTCACTGGCTCCCATTCCCTGGGGCCCTAAGCTCTGTCTCTGCCCCTGGAGACCCAGTAGCAGGGGAGCTGGTTGCCGTGGAGCCAGGGAAGCTGACGTTTGGAGGGACGCACTGTCCACGCCCCACAAAGTCCGAGAATCCTGGAGCTGAACCACCTTTACTCAACCCCACTGATGAAAAATCTAGGAGACTGGGCCCAGAAAGGTCTGAACCTCAAGAGCTCTGGCCTCATCCCATTTATGGCTCGTCCCCTGAGTAGGGTGATGCTGTGGGGAGTGCACTGTTTCAACGGTGGTTTCTAATCCAGGGATGAAAATTCAACCATCACAGTAGACTGGTGAAAAAAAAAAAAAGATATTCCAGTTTCCTATATTGGGGGTTCTTTAACTGAGGGAAGTAGGAAGTGTTATATCTGGAATAGGATGAAGCATTGAATATCTCTGCATCACACAATGCCTTTGATTACGCCCTGGGGATGTTTCATTTTGGGGCTAGCCCACCTTTAACACCTAAGCCCATCTCCCTCTTTAACAAATCTAGAGCGAGCCTCTGGCCCTGCACCTTGCAGACAGGAGTCACATTGGAGATTACTGACACTGTTGCCTTTGTAGCTTTTGTTTTTGTTTGTTTTTAGTTTTGGTTACCTTCTGTATTTGGCAGGTGATACTGATTTTCCACCTGCAGTAGCGACCAGAGTGCTTATTCAACGAAAAAGATTATGTAGAAAAGAGGACAAGTGTGCAGCCCTGGGAAGAGCTCTGGTGGGGGGTGGAGCCAGCTGGCCTCCCCCTGACTGTTCTCTCCTGGGGGTGGAAGCTCGCAGCTGTAACCACTGGACCTCCAGGGAGTTCTCTCGCGCCTCCCTGAATGAGGTCCTTCTGTCTCTGCTTCCGGCGGGCCTGAGGCGCTCTGCAGGTCGCCCCTTTCTGGGCTCGCGCGTCACCCTGCATTGCAACTGAAGGGTGCCTTGTCCCCACCACTCTGAGCTGACCATCTTCCCGACTTCGCTCTGTCTCTGATGAGGATGTGGGTAGAGAGGAGGCAGGGCCACGTGGCGGAGGGCCTTGGGTGCTGCCAGGAGCAGGGCTGGTCCTTTGGGGGAAGGCGATAGGGAGCCATGACATGCTCCAGGCGGGGGTGCTTGCTCTCCATGGAGCAGGAAGGCGGTGGGGAGCCATGACGTGCTCCGGGCCGGGGTGCTCGCTCTCCGTGGAGCGGGAAGGCAGTGGGGAGCCATGACGTGCTCCGGGCCGGGGTGCTCGCTCTCCGTGGAGTGGGAAGGCGGTGGGGAGCCATGACGTGCTCCGGGCGGGGGTGCTCACTCTCCGTGGAGCAGGAAGGTGGTGGGGAGCCATGACGTGCCCCGGGCGGGGTACTTGCTCCCCGTGGTGCTCTCTGTGGGGGATGTGCGGGCCAGGTGGTGCCTAGGGTCTTCCCAGGTGGCTCCGTGGTAAAGAATCTGCTTGCCAGTGTCAGAGATGTGGGTTCGATCCCTGATCTGGGAAGATCCCCTGGAGGGGGAAATAGCAACCCATTCCAGTATTCTTGCCTGGGAAGTCCCGTGGACAGAGGAGCCTGGTGGGCCACAGTCGGTGGGGACACAGAGTCGGACATGACTTAGTGACTGAACAACAATAGCAAGCCGGTCTCTAGCAGGGTCAGTTTCTGAGAGTGACACATTAGCACAGGTCCCGTAGATTCTGACCTCGTCCTTCAGTTTCCCTAGGACCAGGGCATCAGGGATCCGTTCTCACTGTTCCCTAGACAGAGCATTTCCTGGTTTCTGAGAGTGACACATTAGCACAGGTCCCGTAGATTCGGACCTTGTCCTCCAGTTTCCCTAGGACCAGAGCATCACGGATCCCTTCTCAGAGTGCCCTAGACAGAGCACTTCCTCCCCTCTGTCTCATTTCTTCTGTTGCAAAAAGGAGGGAATTTTGTCTGGTGTGTGTGTGGGGTGACGACATAGCGTGGTGTTTCCCAAACACCAGTCGTTGGCAAACCACTCTTGCCACAACTTATACCACCTGTTCCATTATTTACGTCAGAGTTTTTTATCGACCTAGACTTCATTTTTAAAAACTTAAATAAGCCTGTTTTAAAAGTGAACATTATGTCATCTCAATGGAGAAAGCCAGTTTCACTTGCCGTAAATAGAAGGTCATGGTAAAAAAATAAATGCATTGAAAGTAGCAGTGTATTCCAGCTCAGGCAGCTTACTGTTGTGACAGACGGTGAAAGTGATCGCTGCTTGTGAGGGGGTTAGAAAAAGGGGGAGGAGCAAGGATCAGGTGAGTGTTAACAGAGAGGCCCCCACACACGACACCCCCATGGCGTCACCCCAAGGTGGAGGAGACTCAATCAGGAGAGTTTTTCTCACCTTGAGACGCAGCATTGATGACCCCCGTGCCTCCTGCCTCTGCAAGTTGCCCAGCCACACCTGAGCTCACCCCCTGACTCTCAGTGGCCTGGGGCACAGGAGGATCGCTGGGCCCAACGTCCTGTGCCCTGGCCCGAGGGCCTGGCGGCTCTCCACAGCGGCCTGAGAGGTGGCCCGTTCCGAGACCACCCACAAGCCAGCAGGGGCCGCCTTCTCCTGGGGCGGGGCTGCCAGGGGCCCTGTCTGAGCCTGAGGGAGGGGCTGGGGCTGGATGGAGGCTGGCAGGATTGCAGGGTGCCCACTTTGTGGTTTCAGAAGAGAAGCTGCTGTCAGACAGCATGCTGGTGGAGGCGCGGGAGGCCTCAGACGAGGACCTGCTGGTGGTGCACACGAGGCGCTATCTCAACGAGCTGAAGGTACGGGGCCTGGGGGCTGCCAGCGGGGGGAGGGGCCGCAGTCTCGAGGGGCTCCGCTCCTGCCCCTGTGCAGGGGGGCGTGTGCGTCTGTGGTCCCCATCGGGAGCCAGGGGCCCTAGGAGCGCAGGCACCAGGGATGCGCGTGGCTGCTCCTGGGGGTCGTGAGCCCCCATCCCTGGGAGTATGAGAGCACGGATGGCCCCTTGATGGGGATCGAAACTTTGCCGGGGTTCAGGGCTTCTGTCTCAGTGACTCGCCATCTGGGCTCTGTGGACAGGTCTCCAGGACCCCTGCTGGGGTGGTGGGTGGGGGACCCCAGCTCCTTGTCCCCCTCCAACCACATCTGTTCCACCTTGGCCTGTATTGAGCTGAAGTTGAAGATTCTGTTTCGAGGGCTTCTGCTAGAGACTTGTTGGAAACTGTTGCTCTGAAAGCTAGTTTTTGCGCCCCAGGGCCCAGCTGGGAATGTGCACCAGTGGTCAGGCGGGTGGTGGGTGGTATCGGGGCGAACCCGAGCGCCGGCCCCTCCCAGGCGGTGGCTGCCACCCAGCTCCTCTGTGGGCCTGGCTTTCAAAGAGAAATCCAGATCGGTGGGTGACGGCTCCTGATTTGGTAATGCAGCGACTCACGGGAAGGTGTGTGAGTCCGGCCTGCAGGCTGCCTGTGACGACCTCTTTCCAGAGGAGCTGCACAGTGCTTCTGAGGGCGGAGGTGTTGTTTGTCGGGGAGGAAGGCAGGCGGGGCTGGGGGCGGTGTCAGAACACGGTGGGGCGAGGATGCCCTGGGTTCTCTGCCCCCGGGAGCGTGGGACCCTGACACGTACCGCTGGGCTCCCAGCAGCACTCATCTTGGAGCCAGGGCGGACACCTGAGGTCACCAGGCCCCGCCCCCCAGGTGGACAAGCCTGCAAAGAGGCCACACCTGCTCACGGTCACCCAGGAGGTCCTGCAGGCCCCGGGAGGACCCCAGACAGGCCACTGGGCTCCTGGTCACGCCTGCACACCGGCCCGAGCTGTGAGAATTCTAGATGGAGCCGTGGCGGCGTGCGCTCCTGAAAGATGACGAGGAAGATGGTGAAACCTGGCTCCCGGGAGAGCGAGCTGTGCGAGGCTCTGGCAGGAAGCCCAGCGCTTGGCTGCCCTGGTTTCCCGGGGTCCGGATGTGCGAGGTCACAGTCCACAGCCCAGGGGTGGGGCCAGGAGGACATGCCGGCCAGAGTCCAGAGGGTGAGGGTAGGGCCAGGGAGAGGCCAGGACAGAGCGGGGCCAGGCTGGAGGCAGCGCCCGGAGAAAGCTGGGTGGAGGCTGGGCTCCAGGGCCTCTGTTTGGAGGTCCTTTCAGGGAACCATGTGCGGCTGACCGCATGCCTGACCTTGGGCCCCCCAGCACCCCGAAGGCAGCTTTCTATGTGCTACGTGATAATACGAACAAGTATTCACAGGTAGAGTCTCAAGTAGAATACTGACATCAAGGGCAGGAGGAGAATTCAGATGTGCCAACGTGACTAAGAGGCCACAGCCGAGCTACATATCTGGAGCTCCCTGGTGGCCAGAGCAAAAGGAGAAACATGATGATGTCCATATGACCTACTAAGGTGAAGAAGTATTCAGTCATGTAACACATCTATATGGAATTCTGACTGTGTGCTGGGTGCCAAAAAAAAAAAAAAAAGAATGAGCAAGTTTCCTGCTGCCATGGATTTGCATTTCCTGGTAGAAGACTGAAAATAAAGAAGTAACAGTACAAAAGCATTTCAGAGCACCAGGTGCGACAGAGAAAGAGGGTCACTATGCAGAGGTATGCTTGTGTGGTCTCCGTAATCAAGGAGGGCCTCACAGGGGAGGTGAGGCATGAGCTGAGACCACAGTGATGAGTAGGTGATACTTGTGGCATTTCAGGGGAAGACGGTTGTAGAGACTCGGGCCTGGAGGGGGCTCAGTCTCCCAAAGGGGAGAGTGGGGGAGTGGGCCGGGCTGGCGTCTGGGGGAGGGCATTCTGGGCGAGCAGGAGCAGCAGGGGCAGAGGCCCTGAGGCAGGAGTGTCCCAGCAGCAGTGACACCGCTGGATTGGAGGGAATGGAAGGGAGGTGGGGACAGAAAGTGATGAGGGTCAGGACCACTGAGGGCCTGTGGTCACTGCGACTTTGCTCTGAGGGAGGTGGGAGCCCAGGAGTGTTTCAAGCAGGGGGCCGTGGGCTGACCTAGGTTTCCGAAGCCTGCTTGGCAGCTGTGATGGGAATGGATGAGACCCGACTACCAGGACGAAATCAGGAGCCCAAGACGAAGCGGGTGGTTACCGTGATTGCTGGTGGAGAGCCTGGACGCTCGGACAAGGCTGGAAGCAGCCGTGGCCGGAGGTGGACATGGCAGGACCCGGGGTTTGTTGTGAAGTTGGAACAATAGGACGTTCTTGTGCTCAGATTGGGTGTGGGGTCTGGAAGCCAAGGATGTCCTGGAAACTGTGGCCGGAGCCCCAGGGAGTCTGGGCACAACTTGGGCCTCATTGCCGCCCCCACGGTGCCCCGAGTCTGTGAGGGCAGAGACACAGACCCCCGTGCACAGATCACTTCCGGGGGTCCCCAGGAAATGGGACCCCCAGGGTTACAGGAGAGCTTCTCCACTTCTGCAAAACAAACAAACAAACCAAAAAACGGAATTGGGATTTGGGTAGTGCTTATGACTCTGTAGATGAATTAGGAGAGAACCGCCATCTTCACAAGGTTAGGTCTTCCAGCCCACGGACACCGATGTCTTTTCCCTTACTCAGATCTTCTTTAGTTCTTTCAGCAGCATTTTGTAGTTTCCACTGTACAAGTCTTATACTTGTTTGGTTAATTTATTCTTTTTGATGTCATTGTAAATGAAATTGCTTTCTTAATTTCCCTTCGGGGGCGGCGGCTTCATCGTCTTTCCTTCTCTGTCCCCTGCTGGCTTGCTGGGGGTGGGAGGGAGGCAGTGGTCAGTTTTCCTTCGGGGGCTGGTCGCTCCCTTCCAGGGAACAGTCTTCCCTGCTTCCCACATGCTGGGTTGCTGCTGGTCTGGGGTTGGTGTGACAGACAAGTGGAGCCCCTGCCTTCCCATTTCTGGGTCTACCTCCTCCACACACCTGCACGCATATGCCCCCGCTCACTCACACGTGCATACATGTGAACACATGTGCATATGTGCTTGCACACACACGTGTGTGCATGCACACATGCACATGTCTTGCAGCTGTCCAACCAGACCGTGTTCTCCCTCCCCCAGCAAAGCTGTCCCATTGCAGGTCAGCACCTCCCCACCAGGCTGCTGTGTGTCTGTGAGGACAGACCAGCTCCATCCCCGGGCCTGGCGCCTCCCCGGGCTCTTGGGAAATACCCACCAGGTGCGCCTAGGGTTGGTGGAGAGCAGGGTCTGGATCACGGGTGTTCCCAGCCAGGCAGGACAGGTCCAGGACCGGAGTGCATGGACACTTGCCCAGGGCCCAGGAGGTCGTAGGGAGGCTGTATCCTGATCTGGGTGCCCCAGGCCCTCCTGCCTCGGCAGCAGGGGACGGGCGAGAGCATGCGGCCCCATTTGAAGGGACGGCTGACTCCTGGCAGATGAAGGGGCGTGCTGCGCTGGGGGAGCAGCAGCCCTGGGCGTCCAGTCCCGACTCTTGTCGATAACTCGCTGTGACCTTGTAAAGAAGCATCCTTCTTCCTTACCCCTCTCCCTGCCCCCGAGGGACCTTGCTGCCCCCGGTGCGGGCCGGGCGGGTTCTGGCTAGGCTCGGTGGGGACCGATCATCCCCTGCAGTTCTCCTCCCGGACACAAGAGGGCAGCCGAGGGCCTTGGCCCATGAGGCCCTCGCGCTGACTTCACTTGGAGAACACGGTGTTGTGAGCATCTCTGTGCTGAGCCTGAGGTTCAGCCATGGTGTGTGTGTAGGGGGGTGGCATTTCCCACCTGAGGAGCCGCACTTGCCCACCGCCCCCCAGGCACCCGAAGCTGGTCCAGAGGGAATCGCTGCCTGTGGGCCCGTTGGGCAGAGGGGGGCCCAGCAGCCCGCGTCTCTTCCCACAGTGGTCCTTTGCCGTCGCCACCATCACAGAGATCCCGCCGGTCATCTTCCTGCCCAACTTCCTGGTGCAGAGGAAGGTGCTCAAGCCCCTGCGGACCCAGACGGGAGGAACCATAATGGTAGGTGGCCGTGGGGGGCAGGGGCTGGGCGGGAGCCCCCAGCCCCGGCTCCTTCCCTCCCTGGGCCTTTGCCCACCTGGGTCTTCCCTCCAGAGAGCCTCGCCCCCTGAGTAGTTGAGCAAAACCGCAAATATTCTTCAAGGCGGCAACAGGAACTCTTTCTTCCCAAGCTTCTCGCATAGAAATCACTGCTCCTCCCCCAAGACCCCCGTTAGTGTTACCGTGTTTCCTGGTGCGTAAGAGCTGTCCTTAACCAGCCGCACCCCCCACCCAGAGCGTGCCCCAAAACTGTGGCTCTGAGTGTCTCACGTTTCAGATGAAACAAACCCTGTGACCTCAGCGGTGGATGGCGCCCCCCCCATCGGGGTGTGGCCGTCACCAACACTCCAGGCAAAACCGGGCTTCACATCATGTGTCAGCTCAGTTCAGTCGCTCAGTCCTGTCTGACTCTCTGCGACCCCACAGACTGCAGCACGCCAGGCCTCCCTGTCCATCACCAACTCCCAGAGTGTACTCCAACTCATGTCCATTGAGTCAGCAATGCCATCCAACCATTGCATCCTCCGTCGTCCCCTTTTCCCTTCCTCAGTCTTTCCCAGCATCAGGGTCTTTTCCAGTGAGTCAGCTCTTCGCATCAGGTGGCCAAAGTATCAGAGTTTCAGCTTCAGCATCAGTTCTTCCAATGAAAATTAGCCACAGACAGTGAGGAAAAGAAGCGGAAATGATTGCAATGTACAGTGATCTAACCCAGACCTGGATCAACACCGGCTGACCCCTTATAGTTTTCTTCTTAGCTTTGCAAATTTGTGCACTTTTAAAGGTTATTAGAATATTCCTGCTCACCCCAGAATGATGAGTTCCTACAAGATTTCAGGACTAAAGCAACAGTATTTTCATGAGCAAAATTTTGTCTGTTTTCCCTTCGAAAGCCACGTGAGAATCCTTGCCAGCTCCTGCACAAGCCTGAGAACGGAACTTCGGTTCCCTCCAGTTCCCTCCCAGAGTTACACAGGGGTTTATAGTTCACAGGTGGCTCAGTGTAAAGAATCCGCCTGCCAATGCAGGAGCCACAGGAGATGAGGGTTCCACCCCTGGGTGGGGAAGAGCCCCTGGAGGAGGGAATGGCAACCCACTCCAGTATTCTTGCCTGGGAAGTCCTATGGACCGAGGAGCCTGGCGGGCTACAGTCCACAGGGTCACAGAGTCGGACGCTACGGAGCATGCACACACTGCACTGCACGCCTCATCAGCCAGCCAGTCGGGGGTTTGCCGGGTGGGGGGGCGCCTGTCCCCCACCCCACAGCGCATCCCCACCTTGGAGCTGGCTGCAAACGGTGTTCACGGGGCAGTGAGTCAGCGAATGAGCAGGTGAAGGGATTGGGCACCTGCCTACCTCACACTGTGCTTGTTTTCCGAGGCGGGGAAGCTGGCGGTGGACCGCGGCTGGGCCATCAACGTAGGTGAGTGCCCCAGGGCTGGGCCTGGGGCCTGGGGGCGGCAGCTCGGGTGCCGTGATGGCAGAGCTGCCCCCCGGCTGAGGGACCCAAGGGCCCAGGGACCCAGGGGCGGTGACCTGCCCCGGGGGGGTCCATTTGCCTGGCCAGCCTGGAGGCCCAGAGCTGTCCCTGGAAGGACGGAGGGGGCACCTGGGGCGTGCCCTTGCCCGGCCCTGCCCACTCCATGACTGTCCTCGCAGGCGGCGGCTTCCACCACTGCTCCAGCGACCGGGGTGGAGGCTTCTGCGCCTACGCGGACATCACACTTGCCATCAAGGTGCGTCCGAGTGCACATGGCGAGCAGGGTGGGGGGTGATCGCCTCCAAGAGCCTCCCTGGAATCCCCCCGAGTCTGGTGTTCTCACCCCGCGTTGTTGTGAAGGGATTCGAGGTCCGGAATGGGAGAGAGCTCGCCTGGGTCCCTCTGCTGGGCTGAGACTCAAACGTGGATGTGACACCTGCTCTTCTGTGTTGCCTGTGACGGTCCAGAGGCGACAGCCTTCTGCAGGGGCCGGGGATGCCGCTAGATTATTGATAGGAGACGGGGCTTTGCTCCAGGAGACTGGCGAGGAGACAGGAATCATGATCTTGATGGTGGCGACAGCGGCAGGCGTTTGCTGAGGGCCCAGCGCTGTCTGTGGGCCTCGCCCCTTCACCCTCAGGGAGCGGGGCCGGAGAGGGTGAGGGCACAGCCTGAAGGGGCAGCGCTGGCCGTGGCCTCTGCAGCTGTCAGAAGCCACGCTCCCCCGGCACCCGCGCCTGGGCTCAGGCTGGGGGTCCGCGTGGTCCCCACGGCTCCTGTCCACACGCGGCTTGGGAACGGATGGGGAGGAGGGGGCAGCAGACCCTGGCCATTTGGAGAGGGAGATGCCAGGAGGCCTGGCGGGAGGGGAGGGCAGGGGAAGGAAGGGCTTCCCTGAGGAGGTAGCTTTAGGGCCAGACCCTGTAAGAAGGCAGAGATGGCAAGACGGAGCTCCGGGTGCAGCCGGGAGGGGGTCCCCGCTGCAGACACACACAGGCTCCTCTGAGCCACACGGACCTGGTGGCCTGGGGTCTCCCACAAGCACGGAGGCGCTCCCAGCCCACCCGTCACCTCCCGGGGCCCCTGGGGGGCTGCGCCCTCTGGCCCTGGGGGGTCCTCACCTCTCCCCTCGCCTGCCCTGGCCAGTTCCTGTTTGACCGAGTGGAGGGCGTCTCCAAAGCCACCATCGTGGACCTCGACGCTCATCAGGTGAGTGCCCGGTGGGGCTGGGTCCCCCCTCCCCAGGCGGCCTCTGACACATGGCCCCACGTGGTGGGGTTCCCCACCCCAGGAACACCACTGAGCCCCAGGCTGGGCCCCCCGCTACCCAGGCACAGGGGCATTCCCTGGGGAGTGCTGGGGGGTCCTGGCCTGGCCCCAGGCACCGGCCTGCCATGAGTGGCTTCCGTGTGCCCCCCCAGGGCAACGGGCACGAGCGCGACTTCATGGGCGACAAGCGCGTGTACATCATGGACGTGTACAACCGCCACATCTACCCTGGGGACCGCTTTGCCAAGCGTGAGTGCCCCCCACCCCAGTGCACCCCCCTGGACTGGGCTCTGCGGGGCTTCTCCCGTGTGCCAGGCCCTGCAAACATCACTTCACTTCTTGATCCTCAGCATCCCAGGGAGTGGGAGGCTGTCCCCACTTCACAGACAAGGAGACTGAGACTAAAGGGGTTGCTTGACCCACCGAAGACCACATAACCACCCCCCACCCCAATAAACACACCGTGAATCCTGCTACTGGGGTGACCACCTGGAGAATAAAGTAGGATTTTCTCCTTGCTAGGCAGCTGTCTGGTCAAAAACAGGGAAGGACAAAAAAGAAACAGAAAAATATAGAAGTAGAAAATACAAGATGAGATGGCAGAAATCAGTTCAAACATGAGAGTTGTTAAATAAATGCAAGTGGGTTAAACTCATCAATTAAAAGGCAGAGACTCTTCAATGAAGCTTTGAAGACAAGGGGACCTGCCCACCTTGTGGGGAGGGGACATTTATGCAGGAAGTGCCTGTGGGTCTGCTGTGGGTGACTCAGCCACTCTGTGGCCCCAGGGACCTGTTTCTGAACTGAATCTCGAGTGGGCTGGATTCGGACCAGATTCGGACCTGAGGGCACATGGGGTGTCCGTGTCTCCGGGCGAGTGCTCATGGAGGCAGTGAGCTCAGGCACCCAGCGTGGGTCCCTGACTCCCCAGGGCAGTGTTTCATCCATGACCCCTCCGCTGCCCACTGTCCTTTGGGCCCCTTGCAGCTCTCATGCTCATTTACCTTAGTTTAGGGTGGATGAGTGGCTGAGCAGTGCTAGACTCAGGTGGGAGAGCAGGCAGTCCCCCCCAACCCCGTTTCCCATCTGCACTTTGGGGCATTGCTGTCTCTCCCCCACCCAGAGGCCATCAGGCGGAAGGTAGAGCTGGACTGGGGCACGGAGGATGATGAATACCTTCAGAAGGTGGAGAGGAACCTGGAGAAGGCGCTCCAGGAGCACCGGCCCGACGTGGTGGTGTACAACGCAGGCACGGACATCCTCGAGGGGGACCGCCTCGGGGGGCTGGCCATCAGTCCGCAGGTGCGTCCCGACCCTGGGGCGGGGGCGGGCTCCGCTCTGGGGACTCGGCAGCGACAGGGGAACGTGGCGGCGTGGGCATTCCTCCTGAGGCCAGAGGGGCTGGGCAGCAGCAGCAGTGGCGTGGAGCGGGGTTCGACCCACAGCAGGACCTCCACCGCCCTGAGGGTCCGGGCCTGCCTGAGCCCACCTTCCCCGTCCCCCACCCCAGGGTGTTGTGAAGCGGGACGAGCTGGTGTTCCGGATGGTCCGTGGCCGCCAGCTGCCCATCCTCATGGTGACCTCGGGCGGCTACCAGAAGCGCACGGCCCGCATCATCGCTGACTCCATCCTTAACCTGTACAGCCTGGGGCTCATCGGGCCCGAGTCTGCCAATGTCTCAGCTCAGAACTCAGACTCGCCTCTGCTGCCCCCCGAGGTGCCCTGACCACGCCGCCCTCTCGGGGGCTGCCCGCCTGCTGCCCATCCGCCCACCCACCGGCCCCCCCCACACGTCTCCTCCTCCAGCCGAGGGGCAGGGGACGCCTCGCGCAGCTCCGCTCACCCCCTGCCCCCCGGGTGTCGGGGGCTCCGGGCCCCTCTGTAAACGGGGCAGAAGGCAGGGCCCGAGTCCCGGCAGGACCAGACCCTGCAGAGGTGGCGGTTCTCCCAGGAGGGAGGAGGCAGGTGAGGCTCTGGGTGCAGGGGGTTGCCCCCCAGGGTGGGGTGCTCTAGTTTTCAACACAGCGTGGCCGTTTCAGACTGAGGAGGCTTGCAGGATCTCCCTCCTGCCTCTTCTCCACCCTCTCCCCCTCCTGCCAGGGGTGGGACGTCCTAGAGGGGCTCAGCCGGTCTCTTGGGTGGGATTCCCAGGCAGCAGGGAGGAGCCCGTGTCCTGGATGTGGGGTCGCAGGGAAGGGCATACAGGCGCAGATGGGCTTTCCCGTCTGATGTCCCCTCCCATCAATAAAGGAAGGGCTGGACCCGCTGTCCCTGCGCCCCTCCCCGCTCGTGGAGAGGGGGAGCGTGTTCCACCAACATCTTGCTTGTCCAGAGGGAAGGGCAGGCTTGGGGTGGGGGGGCAGGGGACGAGCTCTGGGCTCAAGGACAGGACAGGCCTAAACTCTGGAGGCCAGAGGAAAGCGAGGCCCAGCCCAGGAGACCGTGGAGGGGCAGGTGGCCCAGTGGGGTCCCACAGGCCCCGAGGCCCAGGTGGGGACCGCGGTGCTGGTGACACCAGGCTGGGGTTGCTGGGGGTGAGCGGAGGGTCTCCATCCTGGCCTGCAGTGGGTAGGGGTTGGTGCTGGGGTGGGGCCCAGGTAGGGCTACAGCCTCCACCGGCCTCCCCGAAAATGCCAGGCCTGCCCTGCCTCTGGGGTCCCAGGTGGGCCCTGACCTTGTCCCCGGCTCTACTCTGAAGGGGATGCTCAGGACCCCCGGGAAGCCGGGGGTCGGCGAGGCATCCAGCGCTCCACGGCCTGGGTGTGTTCTCAGTGATCAGAGTTGGGGGAGGGAAGGTGGGCCGTCCCTGATCAACCCCCTCTGGGACTCTGCTCCTCGCCACTTGGGGGTGCCCTGAATTCTCCCACCTTCTCCCTCACACCCCCTCTGCTGTGGGGGCAGGGTGGGTCCCAAGATGACCCCGTGTCACAAACACTTGGACGCCCCTCTGCCCCGCCCTGCCCCCCAGGCCCTGCACCTGACACCCCTTCTCCTCAACACGGGGCTGCGACCCCAGGGGGCAGGCGGCGACGGGCTTGTGTCCACGGAGCCTCTGTTCCAGAGAACCATAAAGGCCCTTCCCGATGCACCCGGCTGCCGTGTGTTCTTCAGAGGAAGAGTCCGTCCCTCCTAAGATCAGAGGAAATAAAGGCTGAAAGTTCACACAGCAAGGGGCCCGGGGCAGCGGCCTGTCGAATGCTAGCGTTTTATTCTGTCCTCAGGGGCCTCTGGAGAAGGAAGGTTGCTGTGCCCACTATACAGATGAGGCAACTGAAGCCCAGCGAGTTTGCCCCAGGCTGTGCATCTAGTGGGTGGTGGAGCCAGGCTTGACCCCAGCCCTGCCAGATCCCACAGCATGTTCTCAGCTGCCTCTGATTTAGCAGGGGTGAATGGGGCTGCTCTCCAGACAGAGGGATTTCAGGGACAGGGGAGGGTGGGGATGGGAGGGTGCCAGGCAGGGAGCGTATGTGGGGATGGGCTGAGCGGGGGCAGAGGGGTTGGGGCAGGTGGGGAGCGGGACCTTGTCCTCAGCCTGGCAGAGTGGCCAGGGCGCCCCCAGCGTCAGGGGCACAGCCTGGGCTGGCAGTGGTGGCCCCTCGAGGGTCAGTGCCAGGGCAAGGACAAGAGGTAAAGACCTCGGGGTGGTGGGTGGGTCCCGGCGTGGCCTGTGCTGGGTGTGAGGCGGATGTAGGCTGGCAAGGCCGTCATCTCTGTTTATAGGTGTAGATGTGGAGGCGTGCGATCGGGGGTCGGGGGTTTGCTTGCTCAGAGCGCAGACTGGGAGCTGGAGGGGCAGGATTCCCACCAGGGCCTTGGCTCTGGAATCTGCAGCTCCTTCCTCCTCTGTGAGATGGGCCTCGAAGGACGTGGTACTCACCCGGAGGGTGGGCCCAAGACTAAACACCTGGGCGATGTTCGGGACCGTCCGTGACCATGGTGGTGACTCTGCCGCAGGGCAGGGAGGAGAGTCCGGGCTGGTTCCCGTGAGGTGTTTGGGGTCCATTCTTAGGATGTGTGCTCTTTGCTCTTTACAAATGATCCCCCAAGTTATGAAACCCCAAGGGGAACGTGCCAAGCCCTGGCTGACTGGATGGGCCAGAATGGGGCCAGGCTGGGAGGTCTGGGGTCAAACGCGTGCTCGGAGGAGAACCTGGGGTCCTGGCAAGCTTGGAAAAGCTCCTGCAAAAAGGAGCCCATGTGGGCAAGCGTGGTGCCCGCCGTGGGTGGGAATTTCTGCAGCAGGCGGCTCCAGGGCGTCCTGATGATCTGACCTAAGAGGACCCCTGCCCCTACCACGCCCCATGCTGGGGAGTGGGCAGGCCCCGGGCCCCACGCCCACCATGCAGGGAGCCCCCCAGGGCCTTCGGAGCCTCTGTCCTCAGGCCTCCTGGTGGCTTGTGTCCTGAACTTGCGAGGCTGGGCGGGGTGTCCAGGGTGACACTGGAGCCAGCTCAGAGCCAAGCCCCACGTAGCGGCTGCGTGATTGCGTGCCCCCCTCGTCCCCGAGACCTCAGCGCCGGGCCTGGCTGGAGGCCCGCGAGTCCTGGGAGATCCTCTCGAGAGAGTTCAGAGCCCCGATCTCGGCTAGCGGCCGGTGAGGGCTCTCAGGCAGCACTGCCCGCCCAGGGCACCACGCCTGAGGCTGGAGTGGGCAGAGGCAGGAGGGGACGTGCCCAGCCTGCTGCCTGGGGTGTAAACACAGGCGGGGGCACTGGTAGGGCCCCTCAGCTTCGCAGGACTCCCAGGCAGAACTGAAGGAGACATGATGCCTCCCCGGGTCCTCCAGGGCCGCCTGCCCTCAAGCTGGTTTCATTTAGCCCAGCCAGCCCCGGCTGGGGACGCCCTGCCCTGAGCCCAGGGCCACCGCAGGGAGACTGGGTGCTGTCTTGGGAGCGGTGCCTTCCCGGGACTGTCAGCCAGCCTGCAGGGGGGCAGTGGTTAAGCTGTGAGCGCCCGCCCCTCCCTGGCCAGGCCTCGAGTCCCAGCCCTCCGCCTCGGCTAGCTGGGTGCTTTTACCTCTCTGCCTCAGTGTACCCATCTGCAAAGTGGGAATGATGCTCCGCATGGGGGTGGTTGTCACGAAAACTCAAAGAGCCAATATTTGTCGAGTGCTTATAGCGGTATCGAGCCTGGAGCAGACACTCCGTACTACTTAGCCATCAGCAGCTGTGTCACTGCCTTACGGACGAGGGGGTCGAGACTCAGAGTGGTCAAGTGACTTGCCCAAGATCACACGGGCAACGGAAAAGCCAGGGAACGGACCCGAGGCCGCCTGACTCTGGAATGAGCCCCCCCTCCCCCCAACCAGACCGTCTGGCAAAGGCTCGGAATGACCAGGGTGCAGGAGGGGCAGAGCTGTTCTTTGTGGAGGGTCCGCTGGGACACCAGCTCAGGGCTGGTGGTCAATCTGGAAACAGATGCCCTGGGAGCTGTTAAGGAGCCTGGTGGCCAGCTGGGGACCAGAGCCGGGCCTCCTGGCTTCCGCCCATGGCAGCTTTCCGATGGGGAGCCGGAGGGTCCTGAGTGTCGTCCCGGCCACCCCCCTGGGCACTTCTCTCCGCACACCTGTCGCCACCAGGGTCCAGGCACGCTGCAGGGCATGAGGGAGCCCTGAGCTCTGCCGGCAGTGGCGTGGTCTCTGGAGGAAGGACGTGGGCCTTGTGGCCGGCCAGCCTCGGTCTGAACCTGCTTCACCACTGGCCTCAGAGGGACCCTGGGCAGATGTGTCCCCGCCCGCAGGCTGGCCCTTCCTCTGCAGAAGCCTATGTGAGGGGACGGAAGTGGCCTGGCCTACGCACTCCGGTCACCTGAGGGCGGACTTAGGGTCCAGCGGGAGAGAGTGGGCTGCCTTCCTGGCCTGCTCCCCAGCCTCTTGCTGCACAGACGGGAAATGGACACCTAGAGAGACGGGGCCTCGCTGCACGCGGGAGCTGACTCATCGGGAGGTGGTGGACACGGTGGTTGGAGCTGGACTTTTTTGCCAGCTCTGCGGCCTTGAGTAAGGCCGTCACCATGCTGAGCCCCGATCTCCTCCCCCAGAAGATGCCCTGGTGTCGGCACATTCTCAGTTAACATTGGCATCTTTCAGGAGGGCACCAGGCGAGATGTTCTCGGGGCCGGGGCATCCGAGATCATCTCGTGGCCTCCGTGCAGCTTCTGGGTTTATGACGCGGGGCGTGCACAGGCGTGTTTGCTGGCTTCATTCTCAGCACAGCTGTGTCCATGGAGGAGGACACGGGTGCAGAGAGGGTGGGTCTCCGGACACACCCCCCGCCCCCCAGAGCCTGCACCCCGTGTGCTGAAGTGCCCACCCTTAGGTGCCCCGTGCGCATGACCTCCCCTCCCAGATGGGGTGCTAGCGAGGGGGCCTCAGGCATCCAGCTCCGTGGCTCAGGGACGTCCCACCCCTTTCTGAGATTCCCGTTGGGTGCCCTGGCCTTGGAGCTCTGGGGAGGGCTGGCACATGAGGGGTGCTCCTGAGGGGCCAGGAGGAGGGGTCGGTGGCCCGACCAGAGACCCCTTCCCTGCTGGGACCCCCGAGCTGGGTGCTCACAGCCCGCCGGTCGTCGTGGTAACCGATACCCGGGCGGCCAGACGGAGTTATGGTGTGCGGCTCGGAGGCTATTATGTCTAATACGCCGAGAGGCCTTTGGAAATTCCTGGAGCCCATCTGGTCCTAGTTACTCCACAATATTGCTGTCTCTTCAGCTCGCAGACAAGGGAGCA